CTAGAAAGGCGAGGCTTCACCACCCATTTATCCCTCCGCCTTTCAACCAGACCCACATGTGATTATCGGCCAGGTTGGCACAATTAACTAACTCACCCTCTCTCTCGCCCACCACAGAGAAGGGGTGGGTAGTGTGGGAATAGAGGGGCAGGGTGGAGGCAGCGCCCTGATGCCGCGGGGCCATGCTAAGCCTCTCCGTGGCTGGGTCTGGCCAGGCCTCCGCTCCATTAGAGGCAGATAGTCAGGTGGTGCATAATGCCTGTGAACCAAGACGTGGGAGTTTAGTGATCTTATTGCCTCCCAGTTTGCTTACTGTAATGACATGTACCTGAGCCGAGACCACATGACGGGGCAGCTGTGGTGGCGTGGTGGTGGGACTTCCTGAGAATTCAGATACCTGGTGGCTCTTCAGGGGATCCCTTGCACACAGCCCTGGACAGGGCAGATGGAGGCCTGCAGCGTGTTTTGTGAAACAAAGTGGTCGTAATTGCTTGAATTCCACGTCCAGAAGGGATGGTGTGTTTAGCACAGTGCCTGGTATATAGTAAGTGTTCAGTAAATGCTAGCCATTTTTGGTATATTATGAATAGATTGTCTGGGCTCTAAGGCATTCGCCACTTTGAAAAGAATTCAGCTGGCATATGGCTAAGAATCCTTGGTCGGCAGAGACTGCCCCCAACCCCCCACTGGAACCACTGCCCTCTTGACCTGTGTCAGGAGGAAGGGTAGTTTGTCTTTCCGGACCTTCTCCAACCACCTTGGAGAGAGACAGAACAGGCCCCTGCCCACCTGGCACCAGGCCCTCTTCCAGGTGCATGCGGAAGGGCTGGCAGGAGGGAACAGTGGCCAGGAAATCTTAAGTGAGGATCCCAGACCCCAAGGCCCATGGGCTCAGGGGGAAGGCCAACTGAACAAGGAAAGTGAGGCTTCTGTGCCTGTGGAAAGGGTCCGCCCCAGGCAGAAGTCATTTCTTAGCCATGCCCACATTGGCCTAGCCCTCTACCTTAACTTCCAGACAGCAGGAAGTCCTGGTCACAGAGGCAGTGCTCTCTGATTTCAGATAGCTGGATTGGGTCACTCCCAATCTGCCCCTCTTTCTCTGCAAAGTTGCCTACAGCCCTCACGCCTGCCCACAGCCAGGAACTTGGTGTGGGTGTGCTGGGGGAGGGGGAAAGGGTGGGGGGAGGCAGTGCTTGTGTGCAGTGTGAGTTTGCAGTCTGCCCCAGATCAATTGCCAGCGCAGTAATCTCTCCTCCCTACCTCCCCATTTTAGGGTTTTTGCCAAACTATTTACTACCTCCTTATGAGGAAGTGGTGAACCGACCTCCAACTCCTCCCCCACCATACAGTGCCTTTCAGCTGCAGCAGCAGCAGCAGCAGCAGCAGCAGCTTCCCGCACAGGGTGGCCCTGCAGGGGGCAGCCCCCCGGGCGCCGATCCCACCAGGGGCACCCAGGGGGCGCAGTGCAGCCCCTTGTCTGGGCCCAGCAGAAGCAGCACGAGACCCCCCAGCATCGCCGACCCCGAGCCCTCCGACGGGCCCACCGACCACGCTGCCACCAAAGCCCCTGGAATGGAGCCCAGCAGCTCCGTGGCCGGCCTGGGAGAGCTGGACCCGGAGGCCTTCCTGGACAAGGGTCCCGACAGCAAGGAGGAGCTGCTGGGCGAGTACAGCCCCGAGCAGGGCGGCGCCCTCCCCGACAACAAAGACAAGACGCCGGGTCGGCACCGCCGCTTCACCGGGGACTCCGGCATCGAGGTGTGCGTGTGCAACCGCGGCCTTGACGGCGACCCCAAAGAGTTCAGCTCGCTGATCGATGACGCCCTGGACGGGCCCCTGGACTTCTGCGACAGTTGCCATGTGCGGCCCGCGGGCGACGAGGAGGAAGGGCTGTACCCACCCTCCGAGGGGCAGGCCCGAGAGCTCGGGCACCCCCACCTGCCGCAGGCGCCCGCCTGCCTGCTGCTGAACACCATCAACGAGCAGGACTCCCCGAGCTCGCAGGGCAGCAGCACCCCCAGCTAGAGCAGCGGCCTGCGCTTGAGAGCCTGGCAGAACAACCTGGGTAGGGGCATCCGTCACCAGAGAAGCATTAACCGGACTTTAGAGGAGGGGGTGCAGCCACTCGGTGTTCTGTTGTTGTTCCCCACCACCACTGTTTGCCCACACCTCCAGGTACATTTCTGGGTGTGGGTGGCACTGCCCCACAAAAGCACAGGGTTATAGAGAGCTGAGAAGTTGGTTCTGTGACTCATTCCTCACAGCCACCCCCACCTCCTCCTCGTCTTTTCCCCTTTTCAAATCTGACCTCGCCCACTTGTTTGGTCAGAGAAAGGTGTGTCTGGAAAACCCCTACGAGGGTCTCGGGCCTGCACCTGGAGATGATTCTAGGTGGGGGAGTGGATTTATTCTCGAATTTTCAGATCAGAGAACCTTGCTGTGTCTCAGCCACCCGCCCAGGGAGGGTCTCTCCCAGCTGCCAGCAACCTCGGGGCTGAGACCAAGAGCGAGTGGGCACTTCTGTGGTAGGTTCTTGGGGGCTGGCTACCCATTGCTCTCTCCAATACCAGGTGGCCGGTTAGGGCGGCACCCTGCCTCCCCCGGGCTCTGGCTGGTTGCAGGCTGGTTCAGCCGCGGAGGGCTATCCTGCCTTTTCCTTGGTTTTTTTTTTCTTCTCATAAAAGCAGACAACAAAGGCGAGCTCAAAACAAGAGCCTCCCAGTGGACAGGCAAGAGTTCTGTTCTGGAAGGGACGTTTGGATGCTTTCCCTAGTTGCCTTCAAAGAGCCTGGCTGCAGCTGAGCCAGAAGGAAGTTGTTTTGTGTGAAGGCCTGGGCGAGAGTGATCTTTGGAACTACTTCTGCAGGTGAGCAGGAAGCGCTCAGCCATGGCAGCGGTTGGAGGCCTGGCGTCTGCCTGGGCCCATAGGTGACCCAGTGCCACCCCAAGACTCGGGTTGCCCAGTCCTTCCCAGCTCACTGCCCTTGGTGAACAAACGGACGGATGGAGGGGCCCCAGGCAGTCGCACAGTCTGGCTCTCACACAGTATTTTCTCTTTGTTTTTGAATGTTTGGGGTTTTTTGTTTTTAGTTTTTGGTTTTCTTCTTTTTTTTAAACTGACCACTTGGAAGAAACACCTTGGTTATCTGTGGTTTTCATGCCCCTGCCTTTTTGTTGTTGTTGTTGTTTTTATTTTGGGATGAGGGGACTCGTTTTGGTATCTCCTAGTAAAGAATCGACGTGGCCCAGGCAGAGGGTGAAGGCAGCCATCCTGAAGGCCTGGGGGATCCTTATTGCCATAGTCTGGCCCTCCGAGCACGTGGATAGGAGCCCTCTGAATGCAGAGTGCCAACTGCCAACAGGAACAGCCCCCGGCCAGCATGCTGCGGAGACGTTGATGTTAGGGTCAGAAAGGAAACTGCATCCGTTGATGTTAGGGTCAGAAAGGAAACTGCATCCGTATCTATGCATAGGCATACACAGCCATAGGCAGATCCAAGGCTGGGAGGCAAACAAGTGTCTTGTGTTTGGATTCCACAAAACCCAAATCCATCCTGAACCAAGTGGAATCTGAATACAGGGAGTTTTTGGATGGCCTGTGTGCAGTTGTCCACTGTGTGTCAGCCCCAAGCCCTGTTTTCCTGTGAATCTACTTTGAAGCCGCCATTCTGCCCGGGTTGCCCACGACGCGCGGCGCACATATGGCCCTCTCAAAGTAACTTATTTTACATATTTACTGTTTACTGCGCAGATGTCTGACCGTGTACTAGGGCATATTCAGCAGCGTTGTCAACGGCGGTCCTCTGTGTTTGCCAGAGACACTGTGCTCTAAGTAGAGGTTTTACTCTACCCATCACTGCAATTTGCACATTGCTTTGTGGACGCTCGGAGGCCTGTGTTCCATCCCCTGGAACTGGGCTCCGATTGGGTCTGCCTCCCTCGGCTGCTTCCAGCCCTGTGAGCTAGTCCCTTGCTGGTGACCACAACCATGCACTGGGCCAAAGGCGAAGATGGAACTTCTACCAGAAGCTTGGTTGGATCTTGAGTGATACGCTTGGACAAGCCGCTGCCCACAGTTGCCAGGAAGGGCTGGCAGATGCCACAGTGCCACAGGGCTTTCCCCCCCTCGGCTGCCTGCGGCCCCACCGTGCAAGCTGCCGTGTGGCCGGGGCATCACCAGCCCTCAGATGCCTTTTCTGCCACTTCTTCCCCCCCCCCCCCCCCCCCCAATCCCGAACAACTCACTGAATTGTCTCAAAGGAGCACACGTTTTACCAAAACAAATCCTTCTTCAGTTAACTGAGCAAATGGATGGATGCTGAGCCTCTGGAAGCTTCCTCAACCTGTAAGTGCTGACTGTCGGGTCCCCCTGCAGCATCGTACCCTAAAGGCATGAGAAGAAGAAATGCAACTGGTGGAGGTGGGCTTGGTTCCAGTGGTAGCAGTCTGGCCCCTGCACAGCGCCTGCCCTGCCTCAGGAGACCCGGGAACCGGGCTGTTATTGGAGTAGTTAGGGCCAGGGAGATTTGATGAGCTGGTTTTACCCGGTGGACGAGAAGAAAGGGGCTGGTCAAGGGCTCGGTGCTACCGTCGGAGGATTTGCAAACGCTAACACATTCCTGTGTGAGGCACGTCACCGTTTGTCAGTTATTGTGAATATGTGTATTTTAAGCAATAAGACTCAGCTGGTCAGACTTTCCTGGGCAGTCTCAGTGATGCATTTCCTGTGCTGTGATTGTTCTGAAGACAGAGTGGCTCTAACCACTGTGAGAAGCCCAAATAAAAATTTTTTAAAATCTATCCCCCCAAAATCCTACTGCGCTTTTCCCCACCTTTCCTTGCAGCTCTCTGTTCCTTTCCTTCCTCCTCTTCCTTGGCCCTCAGGAAGTTGCACCTCCAAGTCCCCCATCACAAGTGCTCGTCCCTGCTTCCATACGGACAGAGGAGCTCACACAGTAGATGAGGGCAGACGGCAGCGCTGGGTGAGGCCAGCTCCACGGCCACGCTTTTTCCTGGAAGAGGCCCCATTTCTGATGTTGGGCACACTTTGTAAATTCCCACAGATAGGCTGTAGTCAGACACCCCCCTAAAGTGGAAACCAGTGTTGTCAGGTACCCTCCAGCCAAACTGTGACACTTTAAAAGGCAGCAGGCGAGTGCTCCGGAGAGAGGTCTGGTTGCTCACATGGAAGTGTGGATGAGGGTGCTGGGTCCCCAAGGTGATGCAGAGTAAATGTACGTGACCAGGTCACTGCCCTCGAGATGAGACAGCCCAGGAGACGAGAGCTGCTGGGGGTGGCCCCGGCGGGCAGGGGAGATCGTCATGAACTCTATGAGGGAGGCTGAGGTGGAATGCGTGAGTGGGACACATCTGGAGGAGCTTGAGCAGTGGGGGGTAGTTTGAGATCTTGAAAACCCAGCAGGGACCCCCTGGATGAATTTTTAGGCAGTTGGGGAGTCACTTGTGTACCAGCATCTGCCAGCACGGCCACTGCCGCCTTTCTGAGGACAGTGCGTGTTCATTTACCCGCTGCGTAAGGCCGTGCTCTTAGAACTAAGAGTGCTGCCTGAGGCAGAGGTAAGTCCCTACTCGCGTACTAGAGAACTGGAACAGCCTGCTGCCTCCGCCCAAGAAAGGGATGTCCCTGCCCAGGGAGACATCTTCAGGTGGGCAAAGCAAGGAGGTGGGCATCCTGCTAACCCCTCTCATCCCAGAAGGAGTTCTTCTGTCCCCGAGGGGAGCCTCCCTGGTCCACCGGCATCAGGCAGTGGTTCTTCCTCACTCTTGAGCTTGTGCAAGTCAGCAACACCCCACCCCACCCCCCAACCCTGGGTTTGACCCTGGATGGGAGACACTGCCCTGCACTTACAGGACTAGTGGGATGGTAGCTGCCTAGAGCCTTCTACACCAGTAGTATCTCCCAGTCTGCCCTAGGGGAGCCGTAATTATGCTTTGGGGAGCCATGGGGGAGGGAAGTACATACCTCCGGCTTCCCCCTTTACACTAATGTCTGAGAGAGAAACAAAACGGCACAACTCCTACGGGCTGGTCACCCGAAGAAGTCACATGCCTTGATTCCTGGTCTGTAGCTCCCCCTTCACCGTATCCTAGACTGCGGGCCCACTGAGTGCCCACCCCTGTTGCTCAGGTGACCACATTCCTGATGGAGACAGTCCCAATGTCCTAAAGCACAGCACTTCAAGACACTCACATGTACCCTCTCTTCAGCTGATGGAGGGGAAATGAGGAGGGGAACCAGGGTTTGACCAGGAGGAGGAACGGGAAATGGGCTCGACTGCATGCTGGCTGGCTTCTTGGGGGACCTGCTGAGGAGGGCTGTGGATCTTGGGAGGGGTTTGGGATGCAGGCTTCCAGCCTGGGGGCAAGTAACTGGCGAGTCTTGTAGACCTGAGTGTTTAGCGAGCACCTGCCCCGTGCCAGGCATTGGCACGCAGCTATGACATCACCAACCGGCTCCTCTTCAGAAGCGCTGATAGTTAAGAGAGCCAAAAAGGCCCATTAACAGTTTGCGTACCATGCTGTAAGTGCACAGGGTGCCAGGGAAGAGAATTCAGCCCAAATCAGGCCACCAGGGGCTTCCTGGAGAAGGTCACCACACTGAGCCAGCCAGGCCAAGAAAAGAGCAGAGGAAGTCCTAAGGCAGTGGTTCTCAACCTTCCTCGTGCCATGACCCTTTCATACAGTTACTCCTGTGATGGTGACCCCCCAACAACCATAACATTTTTGTTGCTACTTCATAACTGTCATTTTGCTATTGTTAGGAATTGGGCGACCCTGTGAAAGGGTTGTTCGACCCCGAAAGTGGTCAAGACTCCCAGGTTGAGAACCGCTGTCCTAGGCAAATGTTCATGCCACAGATTATTGAATATCTACTACGTGCCTGGTGCTGAAATGCACAGAAGAGCCTCGTAGGGGGCCCTTGAAATGGGAGAGTTATGTGGGTCCTGTCTAAAACAGCAAGTCATTTGATCTTTCTAGGTAAACACATCCTAGAAAGTGGCCAGAGAGGTAAGCTGATAATAAAAGGATTTTCATTTGAGTTTGTGTGCTCTGTTGTGCTTATTGACTGCTTACACCACACCTGGTCTACACATTGTACCTACTCTGTAATCTTGGTTTTGCCTCTAAGCACCCCTCTGAGGGGTGAGCTATCGTTCTCCCTGTTTTACTCATAGGGCTGAGGCGTTCATAGCGTTAATCATTACAACCTCACCCAGCTAATCGAAGGGTAGGATTTGAATTCAGGTCCCTGGACCCCCAACTCCATCCACTCAGCTAGAAAAGAGATGCAATGATATCTCCACAAATCCCTGTGAAGATGTGTCTTTCAAAGGTAGGAAGAGAACCAGAGAAGAGGGACAGGGTTAAGGATGAACCAGACACCATTTTTTCAAAAAGTTTTAATCACCCCCCCCTTCCTCATCTAAGCCATAAACACACACACACACCCTCTCCCCCCTTTCACCTGCAATTGCCCCGAGTGTTGAAATGACCTTAGGCCGGGGTGGGCCGTGCTGGCCTGCTACAACCATCTATCTGGTCAGTGGTCACTTCCAACTTGTAGGGTGCTGACCCCCTTGGAAACATCATCTGAGTCTCTGGAACTCACTCAAGCGGTTTGGATCTTGGTCCCTTTGCCTTGACACGCCGGCTGAGTGCGAGAAGCCCTCGGTGGTTTTTGAGGGAGAAATGCCCCCGTGTTCTGGGTTAATGTGCTCCCCGCCTTGCTTGAAGCTCCCCTTTCATGTTTTCAGGAAACCCAATCCCACTGGAAAAAGTTAGAAAACACTGCGTAGGAGCCATGGAAAGAGTTTGTCTTGGGAACCTCCACCCACCTCCCAGCTGTCAGCCTGCCCTGGCCAGGGAAGGAAGGGGCGAGGCAGCAAGCCAGGGGCTGCTGGTGGGCCCGCAGGGCTGTAGAAGCCCGAGGGTGGGTTCCTGATGGCTGCCTCGTGGGTGCTCACCACCTCCCATCCCCACCCAGCTGATGACCTTGGGGAGCTTTGTGCACGAACCTTCACGAAGCCAATGTGGACACAGCCTGCGTAATCTACGGAAGCCGACTGCCGTGGCGGGGCCCCCATGGGGCAGCTGGTGGGCTCAAACTGCTGACTTTGGTTGGCATCCAAACGCTTTTTTGATTGGTTAGTCTAATGCTCAATCACTGCCCCACGAGGACTCCTTGGGCCCCGATTCAGGCAATGAGACTAATGTCAGTAGGGATTAAACCACCAAACCTGATGCATAGGCTCTTATTTAATGAGAAGCCGCACCGAGGTGTTTCACTTTCTGCACACGCTTCAGCAGCCTCCCCACCCCCACCCCATCAGACAGGAAGGCCAGGTAACTGGCCCACGCGGAGAATTTGGCCCAGCCACCTGAGCTGGGACCACTTGGTGACTCCCGGGGCATGGGTGCTGCTGCCTGAGCCTCTAGCAGGGAGTAACCACCCCCACCTTACAGGACGCCTAAGTTCAGGGAGTTAGCCATGGGCCTAGGATCCCACAACTTGGAAACTGGAGGGCCAGGACTCTAGACTTGCTATTTCTCCAGTGTGCTTCCCAGCCCAGGGCCTCTGGTTAGCCTCCCTATGTGCTTTAAGCTTTATGGCCTCCAGGAGCCAACCAGGATATTCACCCTACCCCACTCCAAACCAGAATATTCACACACACACACCAGAGCATCCACCCACCCCCACTCCATCACAACCACCCACATACTCACGACACAACCAGAATATTAAGTCCACACCCACCAGAACATTCACCCACCCTACCCCAACTACACACCAACTTGGACATTCATTCACCCCACACTCCCTCTGCACGCTACGGTGAGGACAGAACCTCCCCCTCCCTGCAGAGGAAATCGGTACTAAAAACTCCTCATTTGCTATTTTACTGTAGTATTGTTAGCTGTGCCCTTGTATGTCTGTGGGGGAAGCACAAGCCAAGGGAATTTGTCATCTAATGACTGATGCCGGGCCTTCGACCATGGGCCCCAGTACAGGAACAGCTGTGGGGGTGGCCCAGGATCGGGCAGCGTTTCATTCTGTTGTGCTTGGGCTCCCTATGCGTTGGCATGGGCTCGATGGCACTAACAACGAGCCATCTATTAAGGTGTGTATAGGAAGAGGGGGCTTCAAAAAGTTTGTGAACACATTCCATTATCTTTTTATTTCATTTTCCCATGAACTTTCTGAAGCCCACTTGGCTGTTGTTGGTCATCCCTTCCCCATTCTGGTGGGGATATTACCCCATAGAAATCAAACCCTACAATCCAGGACTCAGGGATCTCCCAGGAGCCCTGGGGCAGTAGTTAAAGCGCTGGGCTGCTAACAGGAAGGTTGGCGGTTTGAACCCACCAGCCACTCAGGAGAAAGGTGGTGGCAGTGGCTTTGGTCAATGATTCACAGCCTTAGAAACTTGGTGGGGGCCGCCCGTCCTACCCCATCCTATAGGATCTATGCCTTGGAATTGGCTCATGACAGTGGTCCGGGGGATTGACACCCCCACTCCACCAGAGTGCTGGTCATACAACCTGGTTAAGGGACAGTCTGAGACAGGACCCACCCTTGAACTCCAGAGAGAGAGTCGACAGTGCTTAAGGGAAACCAAGTCCATTTGAAACCTCGGCAGATGTCTGTGAATTCCTAGGACTCAGTGCCAAGGAGCAGAAACCAAGAGCTAAATGGGGACAATCCTGATGGACTGGGAGTCTGGGATCTGCCCCAGAGAAGGGCCTGCACGCTGAACTCAGGATGGGCGGATTTAGACCCAGAGAGAAAGGGCCTTCCAGGTTAGCAAGAGCCGAATTCAGGCAGAGTTATAGCTGGAGGTCATTTCCTGAAGGAACACTCGGCTCTGTCCTCTCCCCCACCAGATGGCCTGAGGATCTTCTGCTTGGTCACAGTGGGCACATGGAAAGGGCTGGCTCCTCACTCGGCACACCTCCTCCCCTTACAGACCACCAAGTTCCTGTGTTCAAAATGAAGGGCTTGCCCCAGCCACTCTGCCTTCCACGTTCAGCTCTGATAGCCAAGGCTGACTCCGTGGATTTCCGAGACTAACGTTCTGGGAGTAGAAAGCCCAGTCTTTCCCCCGTGTAGCTGCTGGTTTTAAACTGCCAACCCTGCGGGTCACAGCCCAACACGTAACCACTACACCAGCAGGGCGCCTCTGTCAGCTTTGACAGTTGGATGTTTTTCATCCCCCTTACACGCCCATGGCTTCTGTGGAAAGCTAGCCTTCTAATTGTTTCTCTGTTCCATCTGCAAAATGCCTTTCAAATACGGAGCAAATTTGAAATGCTCCACTCCCTTCTGGCCAGTCTTGCTCCCTGGTTTTGAGTTGAGGGTAGCTGCAGCTGGCTGGTGGGGACAGAGGTTCCTGGGAGCGGGAAAGGAGGTCACCTTCAGCTAACCTGTTCCTGTCAGCTTCCTGTGGTGGCTGCATCTTTCCGCTACAGGTGATGAAGACTGGACTCGGGCCCTGATGCCCACAAACCCTCCTGTGGACTGGTGGGCAGTTTTCTAGGGCCACTGCTCAGTAAAGACTGAGTGGTGGAGATGGGAGGGAACAGCACAGAAAGCACCGCTGCCATTGAAAACCAGTGGCCCCTCTTTGGAAGATTTCCTCTCTTTGGGCTTGGTCAGACCAGGGTTCCAGCAGGACCCTCCCTCCATCAGAGGGGAAGGATTGGGTTGTTGATGACCTGACCCTAGTCTGGCTGGTGCCAGGGAGCTAGGATCGGGGCCTTTCTCCAGGCTAAAAGGCAAGGGTCCGTTTGTTCTGGGGCATTTTAGGACATCCTTCACTTGCAGACTGGCCCGTGGCCAAGGTTCCAAGATGCTGGATTAAAGGAGCTGGCCCCCAATATCCAGGGAGGCCTTTGCTGATAGGAGGAGGCACAATGATCTCAGTTTGTGGCGCCAAGACAGAAGGGGGGTGGGGGGAGTGATGGGCCACGTCTGGGGGCTGTACACGCTCTCCCAAAGTGCAGCCTTTGGGTATGCATGCAGCCATACAGACTGGCCTGGGACCAGATCTGCCACTCTGCTTTCAAAGCACCCACTGCATCCTATGATTTCCTGTCGCCCGCATGGCTGACGAGGAGCCCTGGGGTGGAGGCTTTGTGTTGGGCTGCAGGCAGTTGGAGGCCACAAGCTGCTCCTTGGGAGAAAGACAGCTTTCTACCCCCATAAACAGTTAACATCCTGGAAATCCAGACTTTTTTAGAGAGGAGGGGCAGGGGTGGGCTAATATCTCCGGCATTGACTGGATGGCAGGGAAAGAGCCCTGCTGTGGCCGCGGTCTAGCCCCCTCGATCTCTCTCAGCTGGGCCAGGACAATAGCCCTCTGCCTGTTATCTGTGTTCCCTGACCCCTTCCCCCTCCTGCTCCAGTGCCATCTATTTAAAATACCCATCACACCCTTCCACTTGCTTCAGACTTCCCAGCAACTTCCCATTATACTTGGAAAAAGACCCAGATTCCTGCCCGATGCTGACAAAAGCCTCATAGGACCTGGGTCCTCTCCTACCCCGACCTCCATTCGCCTGCACTGGCCATGCTAAGCACTGACCATGCTAATCCCTTCCACGTGCTGTGTGCCCTCAGGCAGGGGACTCCCCTCCCCTGGCCTCCCCCAGGTATTCACACCATCTCTGGCCATCCCCCCAAAGCACCTAGTGGTCTCTGAACCGTATCAGCCACACGTGTCAGCTCACAGAGATGTCAGGTTCACAAAATCAGGGAGCGTGGGGGCCTAGAGAGCCTTCACAAATGGCACATTGCAGATGCTCAATAAAATATTTATTGAAAGAATGAATGAGCTGCTCAGGGAGCTTCTGACAAAGACTTTCATTTCTGCACGTCACTCCCAGTGCCACAGACTGGAAGAGACCGGGGTGGGCTGGGAGGAGGGCCAGGTGGTGGGAGCGGAAGTGGGGGGGCGGGACGAGGGGCGGCGAGGGTAGCAACTCTTAATTCAGAGACTTCCGGGCTGCAGTGGGTGGAGTCGTGGGGCCACCGGGCACAGCCTCTAGGTACCACCCTAAGCGTGGGCTTCTCTCCAGGCCTGTCGCACCTTGATCTTCACTTTGAAGGAGTCAATCAGAAAGACCACCTTGGGATTGCCCTCCAGGGAGGGCATCTTCCCGTCATCCGGCACCTCCAGGTCGAACCTCTGCAGCACCCAGGACAGGAAGAGGAAGAGCTCCTGGCGGGCCAGGACCTCACCCACGCAGGACCGGGGTCCTGCCCCAAAGGGTAGGTAGCTGAGAGATGGCGAGATGAGCTGGCTCCCCGTGGGGTCCAAGAAGCGCTCTGTGAACATGGAAGGCATCAGCATGGTCTAGGGCAGGAAGGAGGAGAGGCCTCTTCCCTGACCTAGAGGGAGACAAGGCCTGGCAGCCCCAGCCCTGCCCTCAGCTAGCCCTTATCACCTAGAGGAAATGAGGGATTCAGGAAGGGTAGAAAAGAGGTGGTCTTAACAAATCAAAGTGCCACCATCCCAGGAGGCTGACTTGGTGGGGAAACACGTGGCTAGAAGATTTGCTGGAAGAGGCGGGAAACCTGGCTGTGGAGAGTGCCGGGAAACCTGGGAAAGGAGTGTGGGTGCAGGCCCTTGGGGGTGCGGGCGGAGCCCAGGGTCTTCAGGTAGCAAGCTGGGCAGGGAGGAAGGGTTGCTGATGGAGGGTCGAGGGAGGGTGGGCACGGAGTCCACGGTGGCTGTGTGCCCCGGAGCAGGGCAGGCGGGGGACTCACCAGGCTTGAACTGGTCTGGCTGGTGCCACTCCTTCTCACTGTGGTGCATTGCCCACAGATTGATGATCACTTGTGTGCCCTTGTCCACAGCGAACTCACCAATGCTGCCGGAGAGAGGGAGAGGGGCAAAGGGAGTTGTAACACTGCCCTCCCCTGCCTACCCGTGTCCCCTGCAGCAAAGGGGCCCTTCATACCCCCTCACTCCCACACCTCGGCTTTTCCTCAGCCTCGGCCAGGTGGGCCGTGAGCCCGCTCTTCTCCAGCACTGTCCTCCCGACAGCACTTACGTCTTCACGCCTGGGCACGTGGACATGCATGTCAGGGCGTGTGGGGGTGCATTTGGAGCTGGTACATGGATGTATGTGCCCCAGCTAATGGTGCGCTGTGTTAAGAGCCCAGAGTAACCCCGTCTTCCATCCCAGAACACAGCTCCAAGATTGTATCTGCCCTGGTTAGTAGGTTGTTAGATCGGATTAGTAGTCGTCGGTGGCTGATGCCAGGTCAACCAGCAGGCTACAGGCCGGTGGACTGGCATGCAGTGTTGGCGACATGGTCGAGCTGGGCTTCATTGGGAAGAGAGGCTCACCTCGAGTCTGTGGAAGCCTTGTGAGGGATGAGCAGTGGGGCCACAGGTCGGATGCGAAGCACCTCGCGGATGGTGGCCTCCAGCAGGACGAGACGGTTCCTGTCGCTGATGGCTGGTGTGCGGCTAAAACCTACCTTCTGGTCAATCTCCTCCTGGAGCTTCCTCTTCAGCTAAGGACCGGAGCAGGGTAGGTGATTGAGGCTGGGAAGAATGGCAAGGTCATATCCAAGAAGAGTCTATTCCGGACTCTTCCGGGTGGTGCCTCTGCAGCTCAGGTCCCGTTCCCAAAAGTGGATGCAGCTCTACCCGGGGGCCACTGCTTGGGGCCACTGCTCGGGTGAGAGCCAGGGCAGCCCAGCCCTCCTGCACAGAAGGTATTGGGCGTTGCCCCTTTCTCTCTGGAATCCAGAGTTGAACTTGACTGGGTGGTGGGAGGAGTGGGGGCGGAGACACGCGTGAATGGGGAGATAGGCACGAGAAGGAACCCACCTGGGGGTTGTGGAGCAGGAAGGCCACGGTCCACTTCATCACAGAGGTGGTGGTCTCCACCCCAGCCCCAAAGATGTCCCCAATAGTGGTCAGGATGTGTCCATCTGACAGCAGCTCTGAATCCTGGTCTGGGCCGCCATCATTATTGTTTTCTGAGTTCATCTTGGCTTGGATCAGGATGTCCAGGAGGTTGTTGATAGAATCGCTGCTGAAGTTCTCCTGGGGTGGGTGAAATGGGGAGCCAGCCATAAGGAAGGAGAGCCACCCGTGCCCCTCCCACCATGCTTCCCTCCCAGCCAGGACACACAGTAAAGCATTCAGGGAGGAGATAGGACCGGGCAAGACAGGAGGGGGTGGAGATAGGAGGCAACACTGGGCCTCTTAATTTTGCGGGGGGCAAGGGGGGTAGGAGGAGTGGCATGTGGGTCCCTTCTCGGATCCTCCTCACTTCCTCACTTCTTCTCCATCCTCATTCACTGATTCGTACTAAGCATCTCCCATGTGGGAGGCTTTCAGCTCGTCGGGAGTCTGCAGTACATTTCGGTCTAGCTCATCCTCCCTTCCACCCCTCCACTTACCTTGTATTTCTCTAGGATTCTTTTCAGCAACTCATTTCGTAATTTCACTGCATTCTTCATAATTTCCAGTGGTTTGTTGGGGAAAATCTGGGGCGTAGAAAGAAAGACCCAGTCCAGACTCCCAAAGACTCACTGCTCTACTCCCAGAATCCTGCCTGGAGGCAGAGTTTAGCCTTCTTGACTCACATTCCAAACCCCAACCCTCCTTCAGCCAGGGTGGAAGGCAAGAGGGAGACTCAGAATGGGGTCTTCCATCCCAGTGGGAAAATTCCAAACAAGGGTGAGGGTCTCCGCTTCCCTTTCCCATTCTAATCAGACATCAAGCACTAGCTGACCGAGGGTCCTCGAAGTGGACTGCTTGGGCACACATCCCAGGGCCCATTTTCTCACGGTGCTGTGAGCATAACAGAGCCTACCCCCCAGGGGAACTCGGCGCCTAGTGCATGTAGAGTCCTTACTACTTGCCCACGACAATTGGGAAATGGATGAGACTTGTTCTTGTGACTGTTGAAATGCATAATTACAAGTGCTAATTCTTCATAGGGAAGTGGCCACGGTTTTAGGAGGTCAGAGAAGGTAGAGTATGGCTGAGGCGGTCAGGAAAAAGCTGGGCAGTCAAAAGGATGAGGAATTCGGGACTCTGCCAGGGCCAGGTGGACCTGACCGCACTCTCACCGTCAACCAGGGAAAGATGTCCACCAGGCCTCCACTGCCCAGGGTGTCCAGGATGCCCTGATTGTAGTCATGGATGATCTTCAGATCTGGGTCATCGCACTTGTAGGAGGAGTTGAAGCAGATCATGGAGATCATGTTGGTCACCGCCAGGAAGACAGGCAGTTCCAAATCTATGGTCTGTCCGTTCTGAGTGGCCAGGAAATCACACAATAAGCTGATTTCTTGATGTACTGAAGAGAGAACGGGCATCTTAGCCAAGGCATGAAACACAAACAGGTGGCCACTAGATGGCAGTGGTGGCCAAGAAAAACTGGATTAAACGCCGGTCAGCCCTTTCCCCTCCCACGTGCACCTTTCCCACCTGGGGCCTGGAGGGCCGGCCCGTACTCACTGATCTTCTCCAGCTTCTGGTGGCCGTCCTTGAACAGGGCAAAGGCAGCCTGCACCAGTTTCCGATGCAGCTGCCAGTGGGGACCGCTGTCGGCGAAGGCGATGCCCTTCTGGTTGTCTGACAGGATTGCCAGAGTCATCTTTGGAAGCGGGAAAGGACATAGGAATCAGGCACCGCTTACCTGGGCCCTCCCATACCCCTTCCCATTCCAGAGGGAGAAGGCAGTCAGACTGACCCCCCACGTGGGAACATCCTGCTGCCCTCCACCAGGACTTTAAGGTGTGGATGGGGCAAGACCAGACTCCCTACTCCTCCCTCATCCCACCAGGCTGGAGTCCCTAGGTCGGCTTAAGCAGTGAGTTGCGGTGTGCTCCTTTATCCGTTTGTGACCAGGGCAGCTCTGCCTGGGATGGGCCCTCTGAATTGAGAACACCCCAGACCTCTGCCTTACACTGCTCCCCTCTTGTGCTTTCATCAGCCCACCCACCACGCCTGGAGAGTGAGAACACCTTGTTTTGTCAATCTGCGGCTTTTACCCAGACAGCCACCTCCTCTTAAGGTGCCCCCCCAAAGCACAAAGGTCCCAAGCCTCCCCTCTTCCATCCCATCGCCTCCAAGCACCTTTATCCTCTGCCCAGGAGCAAGGGGCCCAGGAGAGATGGGAGCACCACAAGCTGGCAGTGTGGATGATGGAGGGTTAATGGCCCCCGGGCACACACACCCCCAACCACTACAGCCAGCTCAGTAGGACTCTCCACCCTAACCAAGCCCATTGCCACGGAGGTGATCCAGCACCCTTAAAATATGACTGCCGAGCAACCCAGCTAGAACAGCTGGGGACCGCTTCAGGGAAACCGCCAGGTCAGCCCTGCAAGAGCCAAGCTACTTCTCCCGGCACCTTCTCAGGGAGGCCGGTAAGAAACTCCATTCCGACAAGGAAGAGCATTGATAATGGCTCTCTATTGAGCACACACCGTGCTTGGCATTGGGAAATGGGCTTTATAAACATTATTCAATTAAGAAAGTCTAAATCATAGGCTTCCAAACTTAGTTGTCCTACTACTACTCCCTTTTCAGGGGAACAGAACAAACAAAATTTTACTCAGCATCCTCTCCTCACCCAGAGCAATGAACAACTTTTAAATTATAGCCCCTAATGCAGGATAAAGTATAGGTATCTGCTTCTGCAGGCCTGGCTCCTGGATTGTTCTAAAGCCACCCGCCCCAGGGTGGGGAATTGCTCCCATGGGGAAACACTAGCCTAGACCCATTAGCATCCATTTCAGGGGAGAGTTGACTAGCTGCTGACCTCAGGCTCCCTCCACCCCCGTGCACCCTAAAAGACAGCCTTCTTTAATCGTTCTTGCTCAATCTAGAGTCTGGATGGGATCTGCAGGGCCCCTTGCCCCATCCCCTGCCAGTTTGCTTTGGAAGAATTACAGGGTATTGGAACCAGAGGGTCATTCCAGCCGTGGTCTTGCCTGCAGAACTGAAGAGCTCCGTGGGTGATGGATAAAGGAGAAAGAAGGCTGGGCACTGCTTACCACATGGGGCCGTCCGGAGAACTCTCTGCCTTTCTTGATGAGCACCTCCTTGGCTAGCTGGTGGTGGCCGACAACCACAGTCGTCTTGGTACCCAGACGAAAGGAAAAGATGGGGCCATACTTTTCCTGCAGCTTGAAGAAGTTGATGTGAGGGTGTCCACGCCTAGGGAGGAAGGGCAGGCTCCCCACCAGGGGCAGGAATGGGAGGCTCTTGGGGTACTTGGCTCCAGAGCGCCTTGCTTTGGGCCAAAAGCAATAAGCAAGGGTGAGCAGTAAGACAGCTAAGAGCTCCCACATGGTGGCTGGGTGCCTGCGAGCAGGATGGACGGAGCTACAGCCACACGGGGGTACAAAGATGCCTTTTGAAGGGCCCTTCTGCTCTTCACCTTGACTTTGTGCTATCTCTTGCCTTGTGGAAGTTTATCCTGGAACACAACCAGGTCCACGTCCTTTCCCAGAAAGGGGGTGGAGGTTTCCTCAAGGGCTGGCTCAGTTCCAGGACAAACCCGGAGGGAAGGACTGGGCCAGGGGAGGACAGCCGGCCCCTGCGCTGGAGGGGAGGGATGCTCTCGGGCTACAGATCTCCTTGAGTGCGCCAGAAGCCAACGATACCTGGGTCAGGAGTCAAGGCTTGGGGTTTTCTACGTTTTAAGACCCTCATCAAAGCACAGATGATGGGGTCAGGAGGGCTGTAAGCAGCGGGGGCAGTGGAAGATAGCTCATTTAATCATTTAGCAGCTGAGAAAGGGGAGGCCATGAAAGCTCAAGTTTGTATAAGGTCACACGAGATAGCGACTTCAAGAGTCCAGGTCCCCCACCTGCAGGTTTTCTGTACTTTCCAGAGATGGGGAAGCCCAGGGATTGAGAGCAAGGGCCTGACAGATGGCCTTGGGTGAATTTTTATTCTTTAGAAAATAATACAGACACACACAGTATGTACTCGTGTATAAGCCGAGGTTTTCAGCACATTTTTTATGCCGTGTTTGTGGTAAAATTAGGTGCCTCGCTCCACTCTTTCAACCAGTGCCGCTGCCGGGAAAGCAAGGAAGCGGGAGAGGAGCCCACACTGCCTGTCACCCAGGTCCTCCAACCACGCCTCCCCGAAGACTCTAGGATGTTCTCCTGTGCCCAGCTCTCCTGCACCTGGCTCTGCCCCGAGCTGGATCCAGAGTTGCACACAGACTGATGTCTGCATCCGTGTTATGTCGACCAGAGGCTAGGACTGTAGGCGCATCAGTGTTTACTGGGGCCCAGGCTGGTGTGTCTCCACTAATCCGAAGGGCGTTTCAGACCAGTGCAATTGGCAGAGATGTTGATACTGCTGCCAAATTTACTGGTGCAGGTGGTGCACCAGCAGGAGTGGCTGGTGCTGGTGCTGGTGTTGGAACCATCTTCGGCAGGCTCACCATTGGTTACGCCAGAAACCCTTCGCTGAAGCAGTGGCTGTTCTCATATGCTATCCTGGGATTTGCCTTGTCTGAAGCTTTGGGTCTCTCTTGTCTGATGGTTGCTTTCTTGATTTTGTTTGCCATGTAACAAAAATGAGTGTCTAGCGATGTTGGCAATCATATTAATTGCGGACTGGATATAATTCTGTCTGTCTAACTGTGATTCCAGAAACCGTCGTGTTGGTGTCATAGAAATGCATATTCTTCCCAAAGTCATTTCATTAAAGATGAAAACTTAAAAAAAAGAAAAAAAAGTAGGTGCCTTGGTCGATAGTCGGGGTGGCTTATGCTAGAGTATATATGGTATATATCCTTTTAAAAATATCCATAAGATAAAATTCACCGCTCTAATGATTTTAGGTGTACAATTCAGTATCAATAAGCACCTTCGCGATGCTGTACAGCCTTTGCCAGTGTTGACAATCATTTCCCATGATCTGTTCCCATTGGGCAGTAACTCCCCACTCTCCTTCACTGCAGCCTCTCTTACCACACCAAACTCACTGCCATCGAGCAGATTCAGAATCGTAGCGGTCCTATAGGACAGAGTGGAACTGCCCAGTGGGTTTCCAAGATTATAGTCTTTATGTGCATAGAAAGCCTCTTCTTTCTCCCTTAGAGCAGTTGGTGGTTTTGAACGGCTGACCTTGAGCCCACTACACCACCAGTCTCTGGGCCCTAGTCTCTAGTAACCTCTAATTTATGTCCTGCCCTTATTCACTTTATGAGGAGCCCTGGAGCCCTGGTGGTGTTGTGGACTACGTGTTAGGCTGCTAATAGTAAGATCAGCTGTTTGAAACCACCAGCTGCTCTGCGGGAGAAAGATGAGGCTTTCTATCTAGCACAATCTGTAATAAACCCATGCTAGTACTAAACGCAAGATCAGTTAGCACTCAGTGGGAGAAAGAGGAGGCTACCTGCTCCTGTAAAGACGTCCATCCTCAGAAACCCTGTAAAGAGTCTCTGTGCATTGGAATTGAACCGAAGGCAGTGGGTTTAGTTTTTGGTTTGGTATATCGATTTCTCTAAGTATCCTTTTGTGTCTGGCTTATTTCAAGGTTCAAACACGTTGTAGTATGTCGCAGAACATTGTTCCTTTTTCATGGGGCAATGATACCTGTTTGGATGGGAGTGGGAAAGCAAGGGCTGAACACCCCCACAGGATCGAAAGCAAGACAGAACAGATGGCGCCAGACAGGACAGCCGATATCAGAAAGTGAGACCAGATGCTCTGGGTACAAGGGAAACTCCAAGAAACTGACAAGTCTAGGAGTGGCCAGACCCCATCTGCTGATTGCCCCACATTCTGGACATTCTTCACTGCTCCTTTAAAAACCTGTGTCCCTAGCTGCTGGGCACAACTTTCCTGGGCTACTTGCTAGCCCACGGAACCTCATCTGGGAGCTTCTTTTCTATTAAAAAGCTGTTACAGCCTCTCTAATGATTTCTTTCTTTGTCCTTATGCCTCAGTTTA